AGTCCATGATAATTTTGAGTACACTGATTGTGTGATTGGACTATTTGACCATAATTCACATAATTACTTTAATGATGACATTTGTTGTGTACACACCATGTAGCTGGTCTAAAGTTTACAAAGAAGCACATAATATTATTTTATTCCATTTTATCGAAAAAGGTATACATTCCTTGTATTACAAAAGAAAAATAAACTCTTAGTCATCGATAATAAAAAAATTAACTGGCCTTACCCCATCGATATGATGACGTGTGCCCGAAGACGAAAAGAGAGCTAAGCCACTAGAGACCAGTGGTTGGTTATGAAAACATGAGTGGTATCAATAATAATTGGCATCAACTGTACATTTTATTTGTAACAATTTTTTTAAACCACCATTCTTTGTCGATAACTTATGAAAATAGTAACAGCTAAACTACCGTTCACTACGAGCACAGAGTTTTCCTTGAATTAAGTGTGGTCAGGATCCGTTTATTTATTACCTATGACCTAGATGTTATTTGTGGGTACACTGTAAAGTGTAAACACACTTGTTTTACACTTTTATAGTTTTGTATTAATCTTATTGAATGCCATAGGTACTCGATTCAAATAATTAATAGGTAATTTCAAACAAGTAGTACCTCTATAACTTACCCGATTTCGTTTTGGTCATTTACCGAACTCTTTTATTTTTAAGCTTACACTTAATGTTTTATTCATTTTTTCCCCAACACTCCGGGTTAGGCGGTCATAGGTATTGAATATAATTATATCATATTATTATAAAAAAGTAACTCTTCAAATTTTTTCGGGCGACAAATAATTACAAAACACAGTCTATTGAACCATGACGCTGTTTTATATTATGTATAGATAAACGTTCCATTGTCGATATTTTATCGTTAATATCCGAGTTGATGAGAATCGTTTTCTCCCTATCTCATACAAAATAATATTTTTATATTATTCGTCTTCGTCGTGCACGTCGGTCTAAATTATCATGTTTGACGTCGAGTTCAAAACTCGGACGGACACGAAAACCATTCTGCAGCAGTCGCATCAAATACTAATCGTGATTACAGGCTCGTCGCTGTGGTTTTAATTAATTTAATTAATTGTGATATAAAATATGAAACTAAAAATAAAAACTAATCGACGTAAACTGTAGGTGTGTGTATTTTATTTTTTGTATAGTAAATAATTTAACGCGTTCTCTCGTTTTAGTGGCAATTATTTTTAAATTAATCGTATTGATGTGAAAAAACCTAGCGTACAGGTAAATAAATATTGCAATATGAATGTTCCTGTTGATTAAAATTTAAAAAATACTGTTATATTATAGCTAATATCGTTTAGTGGCTATTTGCACGTTAATATCGTTATTGATTAACTACAAAATGTGAATTTTTAAAAAAAAAATGACAAGAAACCCGGCGGTCACTCGTGTAAATGTTTACTGTGCAATATAATATTTAATCTACAATTTTTTTCCGCACTTTTGTGTGTCACTGAAATTGCTTTTTTGTGTCGGAAGAGCTCACCTCAAAAGTTCTATTAGTTCCATTTTGATGTTTGAATAACGTCTGTAATATTATTACTATTCTTTTTTTTATTTTCAGTTCAATTACAAATCACAATTTTTTAACATATTAAATTGATAATATTTATTACTGTTCGTACAATATAATGAATGGGTACAATTCTCATGATTTTCCTATATTTTAGTCAAATTGTCTGTTAGTAATGTTCTATTATTTGCAGTTTTCAATATTTAAAATAATTCGACAGTCTATAATATACAATAAACGATATCAAAATTATGCCTAATAGTTATATAGTATAAGTTAGGAATCTATCCATTATTGCATCGAAATAAGTTACAGTTACGCCTTACGCATGTGTTTCCAAAGTGACAACCTACTAGAATATAAACATTTCGCTGTGAATAGAATAATAGCTGTTTTATGATTATAATTGTTGTTTTTAATGTTGCATTGTTATAGTGTGTAACTTTTCACAATACACATTACACCTACACATTGTAGGTATTTTCGTATTCAAACACAAAATATATTGGTAATATAATATAATATTTAGGTATACGTAAATTTCGTTAAATTACAAAGTAACGTTTTTCCTGCAGCTCAATATAATTATTATTATTTAATCTTTTTTGGCATTCAAAACCATCTTATCGTGTTTTCGCGGAAAACGAATTTCGTAGATTTTCAAACACCTTTACGGAAAACAAACTATTGTCTGAGCAATTTTAGTAATTATCATTTCATTATGCTCTTCATCCCTTCTCACTCTCTCTTTATCCCTCTCTTCCTCTCTCTATCTCTCATTCGCTCCAGTCTTCGTTCAAAGAAACCTTTGTCGACGTGTTGATTTTAGAAAACAATAATGGTTTTCGAAACAACAAAATCTACATAGCTAGGTCGTCTCGTCACCTGCAAGCCTGCTTTGTTACGTCTCTCTCGCCGATATCGATTTTTGACGAAAATTACTGGTGACCTTTGGCTGTGTGTCTGTGTTTGTATTTGCTTGTGGAGGGGGAAGGGGGTATTAACCGTGCACCGAATATCATCGTATAGGTAGGTGCTGCTCGTCGAGACCAAAATACCATTATTTAATTATCCGTTTGACGTCGCAGAATACGCCCGCACAAAGGCTGTGTAAGATATGAGGTACTTATATATATATATATATATATATTTGTTTAGCTATATTATGTAATAATAATATACATAAACCGGTGTTTAAGATCGCTGCTGCACCTGTTTAAGACAACCCCGACTGCACGATAAACGACAAAGGAATTAATCCGAGCAACTCGAATACTCGATATATAGTTTCTCTTTGTCGTCGCATATAATAATATACTGTAATATATTACGTATATACAGATGCCGGATGTATTAGATTACAACATAATTGGCGAGATCCATATGGACGAACTGGCCCGGGTGATTGGTTTGCGGGGTGCGGCGATACGTCACACAGTCACATGATCATATTATCTATAATAACAATAATAATTCATTTTAAAACTAAAAAAATACTTGGTAATGATTTTTCCGTATGGGTTGTAAGTATTTTAAGCTGCAGTTAAAATATCGCAAAAAGAAAAACAAAACAAACATTGTATAATGTAAACAACAATAATATCATTTAATCATATTTTAGACTGCAAAAGTGTTTATCTTATTATAATAATCATCGTTGAATGGGTGTCTAAGAAAACTATCAATCATCCGTGTACCAAATACTGCAATGATAGCCCACAAATTAACATCCACCAACTAAATACTGCCATTGATTTTATTATAAAGTTTCAGTAAGAAATTACTGATAAACATAATATTACCGACGATTGCGTGCAGTCGGGTGAAATAGGCACTGCAGTATATTACATGCCTACATGATTACATGTTTGTTGGTTTGTAAAGTTTTGTATTCTACAAAGACAAAAATAAAATGATGTGGAGGAAGGGGTCGTGGAGGAGAAGTGAAAACTATGAATTATAACCAAGACTGACATTTATTTTTGGCTTTATATAACACTGGATATTAAAACAAAATACATTTCTTTTGAAATGACTTCTTTCCCGCCCCAGCCAAAGTACGCCCACTTCACCCCTGCAGCCTAGTTTGGTGAAATATTTTCTCAGTGGTCAGTTTAAAATAACCATATATAATATATAGGTGATACCTGCAACTGTGGTAGCTATACGAATACTGCACTACAATGTTATATACGACATCCGAGTACGCATATATGCAGGAAAGCAAACTACTCTTAAATCTTTTTTTTCTTTTAAATCTTTATTGGAGCTTGAATCTAGTTTTTCGACGAAATGCAATCCACAAAGTCTAGAAAATTAGATAGTAGAATTCAACAGGAAAATATTGTACCTACCTATTATACAATGTATCTAAGACATGCTTGTGACGAAAATTACCTTTAATTTCCTACTTGCCTAGCTACCTATTTCGTATCTATACATTCACCTACGTCAATGACGGTAAAAAATTTTTTTGTTTATTATATTGCGTGTCATACAATCACAGTTAGACTAATGCGAACAAACGGTGATGAGTCATAAACACAAGTCAAGTCTTTAAGAAAAGAGAAGATAAGATAAGTCTTATTAAATTTAATAAACAAACAAATAATAAGGAGTATTATTTATAAAAGAACTACTGTAACACGGTTGTCAATGTTATTTGATATATTGATTATTTTTGGTGTTTGGATTATTAGGATAAGATTACCAAAATCTTGGTACTTCGATTGCACTTGAAGTTGTTGCCAGCATAGGTCTTCTTTCGGATAAGAGGATGGATACTTTTGGGAGTAGCTGGTGTTCTATATGTCTTGTTCTATACCGCACTCTTATCCTGTAGGGATTTCCGGAAGGACGACCTATTTTTTTTAGGTTTATAATATTATTATTATATTTAGTGAAAAATTACCGATATATTAATGTACTCGATCGTTTATACTTTATACCAAAAGCAAACAGAAATGACTAAAATTAACCGAAGATTTTTCGTTTATTAAACACAAATCAGTCATCAACGAGAAAATGTCTACTCGCTGAGAATTAATCTAGTGAGTTTTTTAGGAACACTATTAATAAACATCGACGGCATTTAATAGGAATCTGAGTGAATTGCGGACCAATTAAATGGTATACTGACGAGGAAGTCATACTACAACCGTCAACCACACTTATTTTTCAAATTCGATTCGACGAAACGATTTTCATTTTCTTTTGATTCGATATAAATAAAAGCCTATACATAATAATAACTATAGATCACTGGTTTAGTAGTTAGACTGTCAGAGAAGTCGTCGCTGTACAATTGATTTTATTTGCTAAATACAATATTGTGGAAATAATATACGATACCTAGGCATTTTTAATAATTAATACTCATCGGAATCGTATTCAATGTGGTACCTATGCATTTTATTCATTGCTTTTATTTCTAATTTTTGATTTCAGAATATACTGTTCTATTACGACTACGAGAGCTGCAATAAGCCGTCCGGAGTAATACTGTTGGAGGGCAGTTACTGCTCGAAACTCGATTTCTCCAGCGGTACGTCGAAAGTCACCGGGAAAATTCATCCGGAAAATGAGGTTAGTTACATGAATTTTTTTTTTTAAATTTTAATGACCGCTGCTCATTCACTTTTTGTGATTTGCGATTTTCTCAGCACTGTTTCGTCATTTCATACAACCATCCTCAAATGCGGCAGTACGAGTTCCGTGCGTCGTCAGATACAGCTTGCAAGACGTGGGTGAACGCTTTGAAGCAAGCCAGGTACTATAAACGACCGATTAGTTGGCTTGTAATAGACTAACTCAGTGACGTCATTTTTGGGAGGGGGCGGCAGAGGCGGTACACATTTTCCCGTGTCAGATTTTAAAAGCAGACTGTTCATGGGTTGTTGCTCATGAGGCATGCCTGTCTTGATAATTTTGAGGAACTGTGAACACGAATTCCGTGTAGATACTAACTTATAGTGGTAAATTATTTTCACCATGTGATAATTAATATATTTTAATTTTTGAAATTTACAAACGCGTAGGCATGCAGATTGTAAGAAAGATGTGTGTATGTAAATGGTTTGAGTGTGAATAAAAACATAATATTATATAATATATATTTTTAGTGATACCTTTTTATATTAAGTTTATTATTATCTTTCAAACTGATAAAGACGCAGACTGAGCATAATAATAATTGCTCTGTGTTCATGGGCGAGTCGTGTAAAGATAGTTTAGCTAAGTATTATATTGTCCCATCGCGATGTTAGAATATAATTTATAGTATAGATAACTATTATGTAATTTATATCATTTACGATGTAAGTGATATTTTTATAACATTTTCCAATTAACATTGAACTAAATAGAGGAATTTACAGCACATATTTTTGTAGTTTAAATTAAAATTTGATTTTTTTGCATAAAAATGAAATATTAAAAAAAAAATAAATTTTAGAGCCCTAATTTCCACCTTTCTAGTCTATGTAACGTAAGTGGTGGACAATGAGCGTGTATAACCATTGAGTATTCCAGTTTAATATAATATACTACGTAGTTGGTGTAGTATATAACATGTAATTTATGGTATCTTAATGTTTATTATGGGATAACTTATTGACAGTATTCCCGAAAGATGGCATCAAGTTAATTTTAAAAAACTACTTAAAACCAGTATTATATTATATCTATTGAAATTTTATTATTGAAATAATATATATAAATCGAAAAATGCAATTTATAATTTTTTTTTTTTAAGTTGTGATTAACTGAAGATGTGAAATTTTTATGAGCATACATTATAATTTATTTTTAATACATGCATTTTTTTAATCATATTTGTGATATTCACAGACGGTCCCTGCAATTCTGTTTAGAAGGGAGGGAAATATGCATTGTGCAAAATTTTAACTAAACGCTGTGTACTACATTATTAAAAATGTTAACCCAACCGCATTACAAATTTCATAAACTCATCCAAACGCGAACCGCTCTACTCATATTATATAATATTATGTAACAATATGTAGGCACAATGACATATATTTACAAAGATCTGTATGTGGAGGCATGTACAATAACAAAAATATCATAACCGTATGGGATATATAATTTTATTTCTATAGCTACTATTTTTCATTCTAATATTAGTATCAACACAGTAAAAATTCTAAAAACAAAACAACAGCTCTTAAATGTATCAATGCTAGAACCTCTGATATAATTTATGGGTTTTACATATTATTAATTTACCTTTTATATAGCAATCACCAATAGTGTTTAGCACTCCTATTTAATGTGTGTAGCCCACAAGAAACATCAAAGATTACTGTACCGTGAGGTATTTAGGTAGGTACTATGGTTAATAATAAATTATATTTATACCTCACCCTCTTCGAGGACTTTTTCTCAAAAACTGTACATAACTCATACACATAATTTCATTTATTTATATTTTATACTTATAAAAAAAATGATGTAAGAAAGAATATTGAAATGAGAACGTAACTTCATATTAGGTTGTGAACGAAACAAGTGGTTATTTTTTTCCAATTATATGGGCTGGCCAATACTTGCCCGCCCCCTATCAAAAACTGAAATGACGCCATTGTACCAATATTCAACCCTAAAAATATTGCGTCACATCCATTATAATATCGTTGGTTCTCGCCGTTTCAGTTTCAACAAATTGCTGCTACAAAAAGAGGAGCTCGAACAAAGGCACTTGCATTTGCTACAGGTCGTCGAGAGCGAAATGACTGCGAAATGGCAGTACGCCCAACAGGTCGATGAATCGGCCTCAGAAATCAAAAAACTACGCGCAGAAGTAAAACATAATATTGTAAACGAATTATTATTTCCCCGTAGCTTAAATAGTGACGTTCCCATCGCAATGATTGCTCCTCCGTTTCACGAGTAGTACTGCGGGAAAATTTGCACGAATGTTAATCATCAGAATTAATTTTTTGTACTTCAAAATTTCGAAAACACGTCACAATATTGATTTTGGTATAATATTTCCAGTCGAATTCAACGTGAAGATTTCAACCTTAAGAGAAACTGTTCTTTTTTCCGTCGGTTCTCTATTATACTATTGCATGATATGTATTGTGCCCAGTGTCCACTGACCTTAAGTCGAGTAAGACACGCTTGTTTATAGTTTCGAGTGACATGGGATGATCATGTGACCTTGTTATACCTATTAGTATTAAGCAGTTCTGTATAATCCATTTATAGTTATATATAAAATCGACATCTCGCGATGTGACGACCGATTTTCTCACACGCATCACGTCCCGAATACCTGCATTTGTATAAAAGTTAGCAGTCAGATATTAAAATATCACTGGACACCGTACCTTTTGGGGTGCCGTTTTTATAATAGGTGTTAACATTAAAGAAGGAGCTGCGACCGTTGACATCGTACAGCGGGTCCACCACCGGATCGTTCGACGGTGGGACGACGGGCACGTACTCGCGAAGACAATCCAAGGACAGCTTTATATTCTCGGACCCGACCACGTTCAATGTGCAGGACTCGATCGAGATGCGCAAGATCAAAAAGGTGCAGAGCTTCTTCAGGGGGTGGCTGTGCAGGAGGCGGTGGAAACAAATCGTCGAACAGTACATCAAGAGTCCTCACGCCGAGAGCATGCGCAAGAGAAACAGGCGAGTGCAACAATACTACGTAATATTATGATATTATGATATAATAGTAAAGTTCTAATAGGTATTAGGCAATAAACCTCATGAAAAAAATATTCTAGTTTCCGGTGTAATTGTAATACATAATACGTATCGTGATTTATCTTTTATTGCAAAACAGAAATCATGACCCTCCCGTCCGAAAATGGTAACTAATTTTATTGAAACGTCACGCTGATTATTAGTGGATGAGTATTGATTAATATTGAAACGCTGTTCAATATTTGATTAGGTGCTGCATTACGCTCGACGTGCCCCATATAACATACTATATCATAAATTATAGTTATCAACATATTAAATTAGTATTTATTCAATGGATTGCAGTCAATAATGCGTATACTCGCCACTTTAAATTATTAATAATACTACCGATATTTGTTTATAATATATTAATTTCATATAAGTACAAACCAGTATAATTTGATTTTAAACCCTACTGAAACTATCTCTGCCAAATTTTTTTCATGCTACTCGTACCTATATAGAGCGATTCTTTTGTCATCGTCCACTCATTATTTCAAAAAGTATTAATGTTTCAAAAAATATTTTTTTTACATGATTTCAAGTTGTTAAGAAACGACGGTTTTTCACAATGTATATATTTTTATACATTTTTTATTCGTATAATATATTAAGTTTTTACTTTTTTAAAGAATGACATACAGTTTTATTAATTAGCTTCTATAATAATATATATCAGATATACGACTAATGCGCTTTTTAATTATATTTTGTTGACAAACCGTTTTTATAAAATAAATTATACGATTACCTATTATAAATATTATTTGAAATTTCAAAAGTCCGTTACATAAGCATAAATACTTGAAATTATTCAGTATATAAATTCTAGAGAAATCTGTCTACTGGCTGCCATTGTTACAAAAACAAAAACAACAGATGATAATGAAAATGTATATTATTGTCTTTTGTTCGTCTACTCAACTGTCAAATTACATTAAATATTTAAATATGCGCCGAAATGTATATAATATTTCTATTATTGCGTCATGTCGACCGAAAGCATAATAATATAATGTACCTACTATACTAATATATTATCTAATATACATATTATATATATATATATTAATACAATAAAATACGTTTATATGTTTACGGTTTGTCTCCGAATCGTTTGACAGTATTACTAGAAAATGTCTTACACAGTTATACACGTCATACAAAACATAATAATATTATTTCAGTACACGATATAAGACGCTATAGCACACAATATATGACGGTAAACGTTAAACTTTGTTTTTTACGTGTTCGCGGTTTAAGCAAAACACATTTGCGTGATAGCCATGATAATTTATGCAAACACGTGTTTGCTCACGTAATCGTCACAACTATTTCGAGTACAGTGTTTTTTAACCTTATACATACCCCGTATTACCGTATATACCTACGGTTTCAAAACTAACACGACATTAGGTTATAACACTACACAACCACAACAACAACAAAAACATAATATTATTATAGTCGCTTATCGTTGTTGTACGCACAGCGACAAGGTTTCCCGTAGTTACGATGATGATGATGATGATGATGAAGACGATGATGATGATGATGTTAATAATAACGATTTAATCGCGTGCTTGTCGTTTATAATAATAATTATTATTATATTATATACGAGTAGGTATATACAATAATTATTACAATAATGTTCATGTTTTTTTTTTCGTTTACAAATCAGTCTGGTTTTTCGCATGGTCGAAGCCGAAGAAGAGTACGTGAGCCAGCTGGAGGTGTTGGTCACTTGTTTCCTGCGCCCCTTGAGGATGGCGGCCAGCTCGAAGAAGCCGCCGTGCACTCACGAGGACATAAGTTCGATATTCTTGAACAGTGAGACAGTGCTGTTCCTGCACCAGATATTCTACAAGGGACTAACGACCAGAATGGAAAACTGGCCAACTCTAATCCTAAGTGAGTATATTGTAATGAATAAATGCATAATACATTTTGCATCGATCCAAGTGACGACCAGAAAATTTCAAGTTGTAAGTCATGCGAGTGATTGGTCGTAATCATTGTATATGATAATGACAGATTAGTACAAACAGAGAGAAATCGTAAAACTCGTGAAGCCGATAGGTACGTTGCCTAACCGTGACGACCACGACTGATGATCGTAACAACGTTGCTCAACTCGTAGATTGTTTAATTAGTTTTACAAAGGTATGAATCGAGGCGAATGTCTCACAAAACACACACACACAAAGTGCAGAGCGCCGAATTAAATTAAAAATGGCAGTTCAAATAGTTTGATTGACCCACGCACCACTTCAAACGACTGAAAAACTGATTTAAATAATTATGCATTATACATGATTTAATGACATTCCTATGTTTGATACAATTATAGCAAAAAGACTCGGAAGTATTATATTCTGTTATATTACTCGTCCTGAACCCACCCGCCCTATTTTTAAGGCAGCTCAGTTGAACTACTTGAATTACGTTTTAGGCGTCACTGACACACTGTGTAATACAATCAATACCGTTTGTTAATTATTGTTGCTATTGGGAATATTATTATTACAAATTTTTCATAGTTTTATTCGACAATAATCTGCGTTTAGGTATAACGAAATAATAATACCTATCGTGGTTATTATGTGGTTAATGCGTTTACTCGTCCGTTCTGGGAACACATGCCGACCCACTTTCAAGATCGTATGCCGCTTTTAATAATATTATTTCATTTTTTATGATATGTGCACTACGCCCTGCGACTATAATCGCTAACGTTTGGTCTCCACCGCATAAATATTTTATGTAATATTTTATTGGTCCTTTAATTCAACTACCTGTTCGTGTGAATACTTATTTAACTCGTAGATTTCGATCATCGTGTGAAGCACTGCACACTTCATATTGTATTATGCTGTGCGACCTCAGACCTGTAATGGCGTGAGGCGAACTTGACAATTTTAAGAGGCTAAATAATTTAGTCTTAAACGTAAACCGCAGCATCGCCCAAATGTCCGATAAAAGCATTCACAACAATATCACTTATAATCACCTGTCGTCATATTAGTTATTATATTATTAAAATGGGTACCTGATTATTACTATTATAGTTCATACTAAATTATCACCGACTATTGGCCATTGTAAACACCAGCCACCTCTTAAAAAACTCAGGGGTGGCTGTTTCTCTATATTACGCTGCCCTTCGTCACGCCTGCACTGTGCCCGTGCGCAACAGTTTACAATGACGATCTGTGATGATGACCTCGAGGGATGGTAAAACATCTATAGCCATACTGTTGTGGGTTGTGTGTTATCACTTATTGATAACGTGTCACGTACATACATAATTTTTTTGTACAAATAACTAATAAGTTAGCGTATTAGCTTATTAGCCTACTACACCCGTTTTTGCTTCTACTGCAGTGGTTGCAGATGTTCTTCAATTACTTTAACGCGCCTCTGGTAACATCGATCTCCTGTTTCACAAAAACAATGGGCATCCCGTAATGTTTTTTTATCCCCCGTCCCATTCTGATATTAATTTTTTCTTCTTAGATTGAAAAAATATATATAGAAGCTAGGACTTTCACGGGGTATCAAGACAAGTGGCAGTCACCATAGAAACAAACGCCCTTGCTGTATTCGCTTTGGCCTCTTGCAGTAATAATCACTATAGAAAAACTTTTCCGCACAAAACTTTACTTGGCCAAAATAAATTTGGCAAACGTATTACTTCTATCTCTCTCTCAGCCCATCTCCTCCTCTTGTTTTCATTTATTTTCACTACAGAGCTATTTTCACGTTCTCTAACGCAATAATAATGTTTTATACTCGCTTCTATTACTGCCAGAATCAACCGACATAATATTATATTATAAGGTCGCCTGCGCGTGTGAGTGGAATTCTACATTTCATTTATTGATTTGCTGAACATTCCCTAAACCCGTAATACTATAAAATTGAAGATAGTCCCTGGCATATATTTTAGACGTTTCAAAACTTTGCGAACTAAATTATACGGTACGGTCGACTCCCGGTATAACTGTATATTATGATCTCATCTCGACTGCCGTTAAAATTCGTTTCAATTCCCGCGAGCTTCGAGTTTATATACCTAGGTACCGAAAGTGGAATGCGGTATTTTATTATGTCGGTTTTAACTCTTAACTACAAGAAACCAGCGATTTTTTTTTCATGTTATTTCCAGGTGATCTCTTCGACATACTACTGCCTATGCTGACGATCTACCAGGAATATGTGAGAAATCATCATTACAGCTTACAAGTGTTAACCGAATGCAAACAAAACCCTGCATTTGTTAACCTTTTGGAGCGATTGGAAAACAAACCAGCATGCCATGCACGGTCATTGGAAAACTTCTTAATAGTACCAATGCATCAGGTGAAACTTACAATTCGTGTAAAATAATATTAATATTGGTATTTACGTATAGTGTGAATGTCGCTGTAAAATCTTAGTTAATCCATTTTCAGAAAAATCAACGGTAAAATAAATAACGCGGTATCATTAATTATTTCATAATTTATCAAGTTTACAATGTTATATTATGATTTATCAAAGTTATATCATAAACAATTTATTTCAATTGGATTATATTTTATAGGCATACGTTTTTTTTAAGTAAATGGTTCATCTTCTCTAATTAAATTAATGTATTGAAACAGAAAATTTGATATTAAAATAATATGCATATCATGAAAAGAAATCAATTACTTATAAATTTTAACTTTACGTAGGAACAAAAAATAAAAATCGAGTTCGTGTGAAACTACAAAAAAAAACAGAAATTAAGAATAAAATAATGACAATAACATATTAAATTATTATATATATAACTGTACTCTGTTTGCTTGTGATATTACATTTTAAAATAATAGTTTATTTATATATCATTGTAGTCGAAATACAATTTAAATTTTAGTTGAAACATTCAATTGCCTGCATAAAGCAATACTTCTCTGTAGTTTTTCTTTCTTAGCTTACAAAATTACCAAGAAAATCGAAAATTACCTCTTTCGAGTACTTTCTATAAGACTTGGTTTCCATTCGATTCATATAAGGCTACTTGAAACTTTTTGACCACTGATTTTACCCAACAGTGTACACAGAAATAAAAACACTGTAAAACCCATTACATACACAGTAAATAAAATCTGTAAAGTTTCATTCATACGACAAACATATTTAAACTTTTTTCGATCAATTGAATTTATATTAACTCTTAATCGAATATTTTTAAATAGCATTAATGCGTAATATAAAAGCTGTTTTGTATTTTATAGAACCATTACTCATTAATATAAAATATATATTTTAGTTTTAAGTATATATTTAACTGAACGTGTGTACTGTAAAAACGAACCAATATTATATTATATTGTTATTTATTCTTCAATAAGATAATGGGCCCCACTGAACATGTTCGTGTCGTTGCCCATGAGTTCATAATTTGAAATATAAATTGTTTAAATAGTTCATATAAATTAAATAATTACAATTTGTAATATACATTTCTCGCATAACTAGAATATTAATGTAAATAAATACATATTTTCATTTTCTTTGCTTATATAATATAATATTATAATTTAGTATTATGCAAACAAAATGTGTTGTTAAATAATACAATAGCTAATATAAAATTAAATTTAACAATAATTTCTAAAATCATACATATTAAAAGTCTTATTTTAAAAATCAACCTTTAGTAATATTTTTATATTTTTTGTTTATAGATTCCTAGATACATAATAACTCTTCATGAGATATTAGCACATACGCCTCACGACCATGTGGAAAGAAAAAGTTTGCAAACGGCCTGTCAGAAACTAGAAGACTTAAGCAGACAAATTCATGACGAAGTTAGCGAAACTGAAAATTTACGAAAAAACCTTTCCATCGAACGAATGATTATCGAAGGCTGTGATATTCTATTGGACGTCAATCAAATATTTGTCAGACAGGGTACTCTGGTACAAATGCCAATAGCTAGAAAAAAGAGCAGGATACCTCATTTTAAAACTGAAAAAGAAGCAGTAAGACAATGCTTTCTATTTACGAACCATATGATAATCACAACTAGGTAAGTCTAAAGCTTCCACTATAGCCTATAGGTGCATATAATTGAAATTAATAAGCACGTAATTAATTTTAAATACATTTATATTTATTTTAGGACCACTAGTGGAAAATTACATTTGGCACCTGAAGTTGGAAAAATATCTTTAGCAGACTGTCGTTTAATAGAAGACCCTAATGATAAAGAGGACGACAATAATAATCCAGGAGACCTGGAAATTCCAGATGGGAACAACGAAGGTATGTACAATACATTTAAATCAAACACGTATATGACGGTTTTTTTTTCAAAAGCTGACGATTCAGCGGGTACCAGTCATTCGAGTGATGTTGAGAATAGCGATTGTGAAGGCTTGAAATGTTCATCTAGCCCAAGTCCAAGTCCTAGTCCGAAACCACAAAATTATGATTTTCAACTTTGTGTTGATTGCAAATCGTCTTCGCCTATTGCAGTGCATTTGTATGCACCCTCTTTACAAGAAAAAACTGCGTGGGTCAGTGATATTAGTCAAGTAAGTACAGATAATCTTAATATGAGTAATCAAATACTAATTAATACAACATACTAACAAATAGTAATAATTTTAATTTTAATGAAATTTATTTTATGAAAATTAGTGTATTGAAAATCTAAGATTTGACGCAATGCTTCGAAATTCAATGTCAGATACATCTTCTGTGACAATGCCAAACTCAATGCGTGATCCAAAGCTTTTTAAAGATGACAAGGATATAAAATTTAGCAAATACTACAATTCTTGTAGGGTGCGTCCAATGTTTGTTTTAAACAGAATAATTTTGTTTAATGTAAAATTACCTCTTATATTTAGATTCCGCGTATTCACCATGCTACTAAAGAAAAACTCATATCTAGACTTGTGGACTTAAGATTTTTATCAATTGATTTTCTCAATACATTTCTTCTTACGTATAGAGTTTTTACTGACGGAGTTACCATTTTGGAAGCGTTAAAAAAGGTGTTTTATAACAATGAAGTAGATGCATATGAAAATATTGGACAACCTATGAATAACACGTAAGTCAACACATAATATTATATTACCTAGAGAGAATGAAGTATTTTATTTTGTTATTACTTTCAGGTCATTAGATCGAAGTGAATTGCACAACAACCATCATCTCACAACAGGGGATAGAGACAGAAGACCCAGCGTCATTTCGTCAAACCGAAAGAATAGTGCCGCCAGTTCTGTATCCGGTATCCATTCTATTAAAAACGCTCACGGGAGCGTTCTATGGTACTTACGTGTTTAACATATATTTTATTGTAATTTACAGGCTACGGATCAGAAGTCAGTGACCGAGATAGAAGTTCCAGTGTGGATTATCAGCATAGTCCGAGAGGAAGAAAATATAGTTTTCGAAAACGTACGTTTTAATAAAAAAAATTAAAGTGTAGTGGTATTATTATGACAAGTATTTTATTTAAATGGCGCATTGTAGTTGAAGAAGAGGAAAGAAAAAATAAAGTAAAAGTGTCTGAAGAATACAGTTCAACGACTAGTTTATACCAGCAAGCTTCTGCACCTGGACGAAAAGTCAGCATACTAATCGAAGACACAGGTGACAATTGTCATTTAGCCCCTCCTACTATGGTTAAAGCAACTTCATCATCTAGTAATGAGACTCTGACTGGAGGTTAGCATTCAGTTTAGCATGGTGTAGTTTTTTCTCTAAATGTTTGCATTTTTTTAGATAACCAACCTACAGTAGTTGCAACATCTCCATGTAGCAATAATAGTAGTTCGACCTTAGTAGCTGCGACTTCTAATTGTGAGAAAAGTCTTAATGACAATAAAATCAGTAGTTTGCCAAAAGTATCTCCACCGGAACGTAAAATACAATCACCTTCAAAAGGTTTCCCCATTCATCACGGACATGCGATCAAATTTGGGTCCATAATATCAGATGCCGCTAAAGAACTCGTAGAAAAGTAATATTATTCTACTTGAAGTAAGCAAAAGTAAAATAAATATTTTTACAGATTCCATTCAGAGAAGCATTTTTCCACCCCACAACCCCGTAGAAGAAGTTGGTTCAATCACGATTGTACTCCAACTATAAGAAAAAAGAGTTTTGGAGTTTGCGAGGACGATATGGGCGGCACTGATGAAAACGGATGGCTAAGTAACCTGCATAGTGCATCATCATCAAGATCAGCTTCACTTGCAAACTCCAGCATTGCACAAGTATTTTTTTTTATTTGCTGGTACATTTATAAAACAAAACTGAACATAATAGTTGGATTTCTGTAGTATTTTTCTAGAAGAAAATCATTTGCATGCGCTGGTGATGCTGATGGCTGTTACAGTGGAAGCATATCACAGAGAGCTAGCATGCAACACGATAGCCCTCCACTATCTAGTCGAGTCGGTGTTGTAATAACGTCATCGAGACAATCGAAAAGAAGGTAAACCTATAGTTTATATTCAACTCACATCGTCGTCCATTTATTGTTTCTTATTTTGAAAAGCGTGGGACCAAATTATCACTTAGGAACTATAGAAAATTGACTATATAAATGGGTCCTGCGCTAAAAACATGTATACAAACCCTCAGCTGTAAGACGGTTCTCATATGTTTACACGTGTTTTGTTTTATTTTTGTGTTCAGAACTGGAAGGCCGGAGTTTGGGTAAGTGCTGTGGATATGCACAATGTGAGAGGTCTAACATTTGAAAATCGGCATAGCTAAAGGGGTTTTTATTCAGTTTTATTTTTGATTTCATATTTCTGCATGAACCTATCACTTACAGACTACATATACTATTTGGCTGCTCTTTGACAACTTTAAAAGCTAATATTGTTATAATACTTAGTACTCTCCCACACTGTACAGAACATTTGGTTTTAGCACAAAATGAACCAAATTGTATTTATAAAGGGTCTACCGGTATTTTAGAATGATTAAAGGAGGAATATTATATATGCATGGACTCTGACTAGCAGTTAGATAAAATGTTTGATCCACACACCCTAGTAGTGATAATATATTTAAAGTTCTGGAGCTAATACTATACTTAGTTATTCCAATTGGTCCCACAGCTACCAGAACCATTTAGTTATAACTGCGCATCCTTCGCTGTGTAACGGCCAATAAAAAGCCAGCCAATCCAGACTAATAGAAAGTAGAGTTTAACTATTAACGAATGTAAAAATATTATTGCCGTATAAATAGTTTGAGTTTGTTGCTGACAAAATAGAGAACACCTGCGACTCCTGGGAATGTTTCCGTGCACGTGTTATTCATTCAAGTATCATATTATTGAATCGATTCTATTCCCTTTGCCTCGTAATCGAGGTGTATGCACATTTCAATCAGTATACTCTTATTTTCATTATTATTATTTTTTTTTTTTCTTAAAACAACATCCCGATCAAAATAATGTTCTTCAGCGCCTATAAACATTAAAACATTAACATTTTCGATTCAGTATTAATTAAAAGTTCAACACAGGTGTTTCTAGAGGAACAAGTAAAGTTTTACTATACTAACAGTGACAATAACATACATGTGTTCTTTTATTCAAAGGAGCAGCACGTCTACTGCTGCTGCAGCGTTTGCTATTGCAACGTCAGCTTCGAGTAACCCTCGAGAACTATCTCCATTACATGATCAAAGATGTTGTTCGGTAGAACGAAAAAGAAAAGAGTCTGTAATGTCCACAGCAGCTACGATGAGGGTGTTAAATGTCTTAAAACATTGGATATCAAAACACCCACAAGTACCCTACGACAAATTTAAACACAATGAGTACTTACTTATAAATTAATATAATTTTTAGGATTTTGAAAATGAAACACGTCTCAAGAACATGACTATAGACTTTTTGGAAGACATACTCTTCAGTCCTAATCTTTTACCAGCTGAGCACAAAATAGCTGGCCAATTACTTAGATTGCTTACAATGGACGAAACAAAAAAACCTACTGTCGACCTAAACTTGCTGTTGACTCCATCACAGGTACGTTAGTAATTAATTATAAAATTGTTTTTTTTTTCTAAAGTTATTAAGTAATGACTATAATCTATATGACATTTTTAATATTGAATTATTTATAACTCAAATTATTCCCAGAAAATCAGTATGAAAAATGACATTTAAAAAAGAAAATTTTATCGTAAATAATTTTATCAATTTTATATTCGTACAATGTACACTAAACATTATAAGTTTATAACAATAGTATAAACTACCAAGTATATCTATACATATTATTATATTTAATTTCATTCTATAAAATCAATATTAATATTAACTATTGTCTGTGATATCAATTCTAAAATATTTAATAACAGGTTGAAAAATCCATCTATGTACACTATGTATAAAAGCAAATGTACCTATGTTTGTTCGTCCTCTATGTATTCTTACACTATTCATCCGATCATAATCACCATGATACTTTCGTGTTGGAGTCATTAAGCACCCTAAGGAAGGTTAACTATTTCGAACAAAACCTGATGAAAAGCAATTTATACATCATGCATGGTGTATGATAAGATTTCATATTTTCGCTCAATATTATAAACGGACGAATTTTGAATCATATAAGTCGGGCATTTTCAAGGGACAACATTAAGTTAGAATAGTTAAAATATAAGTTATAATATATATATAATAATAAGTTTAAATAGTTTAAATAGTTTCATAATGTCAGCTAGTTACATAGAATTTATAGAAAAATACTGTGCCAAAACTATAAGCCAATTTAAAAACTTAAAATCGTAGATCACTTTATGATAATTAATAATTATACATTTATAAACTAATATTGTTATTTTCAGATTCCTAGTTCTGAAAATATTGACACTTTGTCTGCATTAGAAATAGCTGAACAAATGACTTATATTGACCATCAAATATTTATAAGAATACAAAGCCAGTGAGTACAATTCATTTAACACAATGTCAGCGTTACATCTGTTATCTCTATCTTTTATATAGGTACTTACTCGTTAGTCGTTACTTATACCCATACCGCTTCACGCTTTTCACTTTTTGTAGCCAAACTGCTTAAATTTCACACAGATGACATGTTAAAAAATGTATTATATAAGTATAGTAGTGCTCTGCACAACATAATATTTCAATATTATTTATTTTTAAATAGGTAGTTATGGCCTTATTAACAATTACATTTAATAATTTTTAACAATTAGGTGCCTAATTGCAATCCACAATATTAGTTTTTTTAATGTTTTAATTAGGTATGCTATGCAAAATATTATTCGGCCACATGACACTACAATTAAAATCCTAATAAATAGTTTAATAGGTCATTATTACAGTCTCTATCTTTGAGCGATTTAGCTACTAACTGAGAAAATAATATACGAATATCGGATTTGCTATGTTTTTGACAGAAATAAGTGATTTATAATATAATTGACAACTTTACTCTCAGAGGACAGATGATTCTCCGACACCCTAACCTAACTATAACTTGTAATTAGCTAATGCCGTGTGTTTTATATTTTATAACTTTGTTTTAATTTTCACAGTCCCAATTTTTAGGCGGAGTTGTATGTGTTATAATTGTAATTCTACAACGCACATAATATATTTTGTACTTCGTTGAATAGACTAAAAAAAATGTATGTTTAAAAATGTTGTAATCGCAAAGAAATTTAGTGAAGGTTATTGGATATAACAAGAATTTTAATTTGCTGTCAAAACATAATAGTGTCAAAAGTTATTACCTAGATTAATATATTAGATACACCATACTTTCTGCATGATAATAAATAAATATAGTTATTCTTTGTTCTACCATTCAAAAGTGTATTTTATAATTATTATTATTACGTTATACAGATAAATAAACTACTTATTTAAACATGAAAAATGATGTTACTATGTTAGTGAATACAAAATGTACAAAAAATTATAGAATAATATTAAAAATAATAATTGTTATAGCTTTTAAATGACACATTCAAATAAAGGATTTGTACTCATGCAAAGTTAAAATAAAAATACCAATTATTAATAATTTGTTAAGCTTTTCGTTTTTGGACTGTTGTAGACATTTTATAGGTATACTTTACAATCAAAATGATATCCATTCGTAAATATTTGGAAGAAAATATAATATTATTTTCTTTGAAATTGTATTTACAAACGAATATCTATTTCTGGCACGTATTGTACCTATTGATTTTTAGCATATATTTTACCAAACAGTCCAAATAGTTCTGTAAAAACTATACCATCAACACTAATAAAATGATTTAAAATAATAATATTGTAACAATAAACCTAACAAAATTTAAAATACTACACTATAACCTATGTTCTATTTGTATGATGAGTAATGACGAATATTATTTTTAATTAATTCAAATGTGAACTCTTATAATACTACATGTTCTACAATTAATGTTCGTAATTGTAAATCCTCTACCTATCGCCAATTATTTAATAATAATCATTATTATAGGCGATGAATAATGATACTAAAATGATTTTAATTAAATATACACAATCTTCATAGTTGAATAAAATTAAGTTTGATAACAATTTGTTTTAAAAAACTGCTGTTTCGTAGACTATATAGTGCACAAATCACAAAATACGTATAATATAATATAAAAAAGCATTTTTCATAATATTTATCATATTTTTCGAATATATCTTTGTTTATAATATTCTGACAACCGTAATTAGCCCCTCTGTGTTTTTAATAGCTTCCGTTGATTTCAATATCTAATAATTTGATACTTTTTCTGAAGATAAATTTTAAACTGTTGTTGCTGAGGGCTTTTTAATTGAATTGGCGTTACAAATATTAATATATACAATATATACCAGAAGTGTGTACAATAATAATACTGCAGGATTTGGTCGTGAGCAAAAATTAAAATAATATTCGATCATACAATCAAGTTTTCTCAACCTTTTGAGGTCCATACTCCATGCACCATTTCATACTATTTTATAAGGTGCCACCCTCACCACTAAAAGTATGCTACAACATTTTTACACCTCCCTTGGGGGCGCGCCCCCAGGTTGAGAACCATTGATTTAAATAAGAATTAAAACAATAGTTATCGTTTTTTTTAAATTTATTGAACATTTTTTATTAAACCTCTATCTTGTTACAGCTATTATATTCAATAATAATTTAAATGTTAACAAAAATAATATTTTCGACTTCTCACATAAAAAAATGATAAAATATCATTATTGCATTAATTGATGAGCATTTTCCAGGGAATTTTTCGGCCGTGCTTGGATGAAGGACGACAAAAACATGAAAGCGCCTCACATTATTTTAATGACCAAGAGATTTAACGAGCTTTCGCAGTTGGTCGCTTCGGAAATAATGCGTAAGAACAATGTGGCCGCAAGAGTGATAGCAATAGAAAAGTGGGCTGCAGTTGCTGACATATCTAGGTGTTTGCATAATTTTAACGGAGTCCTACAAATATGTTCAGCTTTTACCAATAGTTCGGTGTTCAGATTGAAGAAAACTTGGGAGAAAGTTTCAAAAGCTGTGAGTTTATGTGTTTATAAAACTGACATAATATTATGAAAACGATACGAGCATTTTTTCCGTAAAGACGACAGTTCTAAAATAATATGTTAAAACTATAAAACTATTAATGAGTATTTCTACTTAACCGAGGTATAAAACGCATGTCATTTAATTGCTCAAAAATGTAATCCAATGTGATTTATATATTTTATGTAATATATATAATATATTATCAATTTAGTTTAATTACAACTTGTAAATTAGTTTTTGAGATTATTTGTTGGTTGTATTCTACACACACACCTTATTTTGTTTTTAGACAAAACTATCGGTACAAAAACTTCAGATAATCGTCTCGTCTGACGGAAGATTCAGAAACCTTCGCGAAGCTCTGCACAGATGTGATCCACCATGTATTCCGTACTTAGGGATGTACCTAAGTGATTTATCGTTTTTAGAAGAAGGAACTCCCAGTTTGGCAGACGACGGGCTACTTAACTTTTCAAAATTACGTATGGTGGGTACAGTACATTAAAAATGTATTATCTATTCGACTGTGTCGGTTATTAGGAAAAAGCATTCTAAATATTATTGCACAGCTTACACAAGTATAAGCCCTGGGAAATAAAATCATTTAATAGATGAGAAAATCCGAGTACACTGTTGCAAATGACAATTGTAACCGTTATGTAGTTAAGAAGGGTTTAAATTATACAGTGCAGCTAACATTTAGTGTTTCTAACAGGTGTGGTCAGTGGTAGGAAAGTACATAAAGCAATATAATATAATTAAAAATAATACGAAAGAAAATATGTTAGTTAAGAATATTAGTTAAATAAATTAAAATGTACGCATGTAGCCAGGGCCGTATTGAGGAGGGTAGGCAATTCGGACATTTTCCCCGGTTGACCAAATATTGATCTATTTCGAGCACCGCTGTAACCCGGTGTAGTATTGTATCAATAAATTTTTTTTTTTTGAAAAGAATTTTGATTGAGACACGGCCATAATTTGATGGCGTCATTCGTCAATCGACGATAACTGATAAGGGCTGGCATAGAATATAATTAATATTATTTTAACATGACCATAGTTGTAGATAGACAACCATGACTTAACCATGACGAATCATAACTAAAAATGTGTTAAGAAAAATCAAAAAAGTAGATCTTTTTTATGGGGGAGGGGGAGTAAAATTATGGTTTAAGCAGGCCGCAAACATTGTAAATAAGGCCCTCCATGTGGCTATCGTTGGTGGGAGTATGTGAACTATGGCAGGAGGGCTAAAATTTCAGTTGGGGGGCTTAGCCCCCCCCTTTAGTTATGCCCATGATAATTTTAGTACATACTATGCGTATAATAAATTAACATATTTCGAATTGTAGCTGCTATTGGTACCATCTTATGCCTATTGAATCAATACTATTAATTTTATTATATTAGGTACATAATATACCGATCAGCAATTTTAGTCTATAAGTATAATAATATTATACGAGACATCCTTCTTGTTCCAACACACTTATTTCTCTTATAAGGACTCTCATGACTAGAAATATGTCTTGGCGCTGTTTCTCGATCACTCTTTTAGGTACCAATATTAAAAAAAAAATTTTCGATTTTGTCGTTCAGATAGCGCACGTGGTACAAGAAATCCGACGGTTTCAGCAGACTCCGTACAAGATCGACTTCCACCCTCGGGTGGCCAACTACCTGTTGGACACGTCGCTGCTTTTGAACGAGGACGAGCTGTACACCAGGTCCCTGGAGATCGAACCCCGGCCGTCACGGCTCAGCATCACGACGCTGTCGAACTCGCCGCACCACGGCGGTGGCAGCCAATGACGGCGGTGCAGCGCCAAGAGGAATCAGACCACGTGCTTCAAGTGAACGATCGACGCGACTGACACCAGCCCGAGGGCGACGGCGGCGAGCGATTGCGACTATTTAATAAATAATCGTTATAAATAGTGTCGTCTTCAATGTTATAATATTATCATTACCTCTTGTCACTATACTGCAGTGTAATAATAATATTATTGTCGTACGGTGACGATAACGACTAAATTATTAGACGTGATTCGCGGGTGGAGCAGATAGATGGACGGCGAGGGAGAATCTGTTTTCTCATCTCCGACGACAATCATCGTTTCTCTCACCGCCACCTCACCACGGTCGACACTGTTTTATCGCCGCCGCCGCCGCCGCCCCTCTCACCCCGGAAGGAATATTATTATGTTCCCAGTGACGAGCGAGTGTCTTCCGCACGCGTGATCAGCGAATACAATATATATAATTATCATTATTGTTATACTATTATTATAATGTCCTTCCGGCGGGCCGCCCCGCTCAGTTTACGTATGCACAACGAGTAGATAGGTAGGTAGTAGGTACCTATTATAATACCTATATACATTTCCGCTTGGCCCAGATGGCTCTATACTGTGCCACCGCTATCAGCTGCTTCAAATTTTTACGCGTTATCTAAATCGAGTGTTTTCGAGATATTCATTTCGTGTTCTTCGGTTTGTCACTATGTTGACGTATATTCAACGACGGCGACAATCATCGTTGTGTCGTACTTAGGTATATATACAATTTTTTTCGTCTTAAGATTTTTTTCTTCGAATTCTTTTCGTAATTTTGTCTTCCAGACGTTGGGAAAAATCACTGGCACTGCAATAGCGACGATAGATTTATTACATATTACAATACATATACGTTGTACGCTAACAATACTATTTGTGCCACGTTGGCATTTTTACTCGAATCGTAGACTTTTTTTCTGTTACATTTTTTTTTCTACAGACACGGCTTTCGATATTATGTTTATCTATAGACATCGTAGGTTGTACGTTACGCGATTCGGACGTAAAAACGTACAGGCGAATACCATACAAGCGAACTTGTGTGATTGCTATAATGTATATAGGCATAATATTACTATCATAATCAGTTCTAAGAGGTAAATGTTATAAACGTTATCGGAAAAAATTATACTTATCCGTCTCGCCGTCAGCGACGTCCAAAACCGGAGGCAAGACGGAAATACAAAAATAAAAAATTATCGTACTGAACAATCAAAATTATTTTTTAGACAGTAGAACAATTAATCATGCTTAGAATAAAACGGAATACTATAAAGTGTGCTGCCCATCGTTTCCGCGTAGGTGCTCGGCTTCAATCATACTTCGTTCGTCATCAATCCGTTAGTGACCTTCCTCCCCCCCCCCCCCCCCCGTTGGGGTCACCGCATACCAAGACGTCAGTATACGGTATTAGATTTTTTATAAACGGCCATATTCCCTTGGTCCCTTCTTGCGGTTTTTGCTCAGACAATTAGAATGAAAAATACGTTTATTCCCGACCCTAACGCATACCTACACTGTTCGATTGATTTCGATAAAATTACCGAATCTCTGTGTGCGTGCGTGTGTGTGTATGTATGTGTGTATGTGTGTATTTTCAATTTATATAATATTTAGTTACCTATACGTACGTATGTGTTGAATCGTTAAAGATATAATATATATATTTTTTGTTTTGAGAGTATTGTCACTTATATGATAATAACTATTAATATGTAAGGAGATGCGTTCGATTATTATTTATGTTTATTCGTTGTCGGTCATTCGTCGGTGGGTTACACAAAAGTTTCAACGCTACTGGGTATCGTTTTTCACTATGAACACAATATTAATTGTGCACAAAATGTATAAAAATGTTTACAAACAACACCCAATCAAGTCTAACTCATCGAGTGATGACGAAAATGAAAAACATTTATTTTTCTAAACTATAAGTTGTACCGTTATATAAGACGTACCCATACGCCCCAATTTTTCCTAATTGCCAAATTTTTCTCATTAACTATACGTAACTAATGAAATGGATATATGACAATTTATTTGTGTGATACGAGTTTCTTTCATATTTACTCTTCTTTTTCTATATACTATCTCTCGCCATCGCATTATATATATATATATATATATATATATATAATAATGTATTTTATATATTACAATATGTATGTAATGTACATATACCAAGTTTTTAATATATTATTATTGTATTTTAACTATATTATACATTGTACTTGATTCGATGATTTTAATGTAAATTCGTTAGTTTGTTGATGTAATTTTTTTCTTATTTTGTTATTTAAATATTTATTTTCTGTACTATAGGTGTAACAATAATAATAAGTTTAAACTATGTAACACGTTCAATTGCCATAAAAAAAGTGTATAATATTACATTATATAAATATTTATTTTTCTCATAAATGACAATCACCTATAGACGCGGTATGACATACCTACAAACATAAATATGTGTACTGATTGATTAGNCATTTTTTTTCCAGTTACACTTATTATTATGATTTCTTGTGGTAAAAGTTACATTATTGACAATGTACTTTTGTAATACTTATTTACCATTTTCATACATCCTTTAATATGAAATATTGAAATGTTCATAATTACTTCATATATATATATTATATTAGGTATCCAAATATCGTTTGATTGGTTGTAAGATACTTTTTGTTGTGAGCCTATTTTTAACACTGAAATCATTTATTCTTTATTGTTTTGCGCGCTAATGTCATGAACTCTTGACAGTACCAATATCAACATCATACTAATCATTTAAATGATCAAAATCTGAAATAACTTGGTAGTTTTTACCAGACAGAAGAATATGAAAATAATATAGTATTTATTGAGTACATCACCTACTTTCAAAATAACACGATAATATTATATGAATATTATAAGCCAGTAATACATTTTTATTTAATGTCGATTTCTGATACACAATTTGATTGGCATATGCTATCAGTTATGTCTATGTATTGTTTTGTTTTCGTCATTATATGAAACTTTTTTATGTGGTTTTTAAATGCTGAGAGGAATAAGAACATAAAAAAAATGTAACACAGAAGTCAAACAAATATTAATTGTTCATTGTTATTATTATACAATAGGAACGACCACGAAAAAGTCTCTATCGTGTTTTTCCTTTTTTGTGTTCCATTTAAATATGATTAAATGCACCCGTTTGGTTTATTTTTGTTCTACAAATCTTAGTACATAATATTATTATCTGTTGTTAATTATATATATATTATATTATAATAATTATTGTTGTATCGATTTCTTCGTAAATATTACGACAAAGAGTTTATGTCATTGTTCAATAAGGTATTTCGGTTGTTATTAAATTTAATGATCTAAATACATTATTTTACGTGTTTTTCATCCATTTATTACTCACTGTCAGTACAGTAGTCCCTATAATATTATAAGTCGGGGATGAGGTGACCGAGTGGTCTGACGCGTCCGCTGCGACGCAGCCGGTTGAAGAGCTTGTGTGTGCGCGTGTGAGTGTGTGTGTGTGTGTGTGTGTGTGTGTGTGTGTGTGTGTGTATGAACGCCATTTTATAACCGTCTGCAGTTAAATTAAACTTTAAAAACATGGTTTAAAGAATAATTAATATAATATATAAATCATTGTTACCTATATTATATTAAATTATAATAATAATATGTTTCAGGAAAAAAAAATATGTTTAACGAATTTTCTTACACTAACATATCGTCGGTGGAGTTTGATCTCTGTTTAAAAGGCTTAAATATTGTATTATATTATGATATTTCATTATTATTATTATTATTATTATTATTATTATTGTTGTTGTTCTTATTATAATATCGTATTAATAGACTTAAATGAAACTAAACTGGACGCTTGAAAACATAATATTATGTGTATACGTCGCATACGTAAAGATAGATGATGTGCTTCGATTTCTGAAATGCTGATTATGCTTTCTTGCAATCATAAAATCGAACGATATGATAATATCAAGCGAATGGAGATTTTTTTTCACTCAGTCGCTATCAAAACTTTTATTTATTATTGAGATACTGTGATTTCAAATTTTGTTCTCATGCTCTAACTTGAAGAGCTTGTGTGTGCGCGTGTGA